CTATGAGGGTCCATCCGACCTTCCATGTGTCCAAGGTCAAACCCGTCAGGACCAGTCCGCTGGTTCCCCCCACCAGACCCCCTCCACCCCCCCAGGTCATTGATGGGGGGCCAACATACGCTGTAAGGCGTCTTCTGGGGTCCCGCCGCAGGGGCCGTGGACTTCAGTACCTCGTGGACTGGGAGGGTTATGGGCCAGAGGAGAGGTCCTGGGTCCCCTCTAGGGACATTTTTGCTAAAACTTTGATAAGAGGGTTCCACCGGCGTCACCCGGACCAACCGGGGATGTCTGGAGCCGTCCCTTGAGGGGGAGGTACTGTAACGATCTGTTCAGTCTGTGTCTGTTTTTGATTTTACTTCCTGTTGGTTTCCCTACACACCTGTACCTTGTTGTCATTAAGCATTCCCTATTTAAACCCTGTGTTTCCCCTCACCCTCTGCCAGATTGWCATTGTCTCCTGTGTGTGTACATGCTCTCCAGCGAATTCTTCCGTGTTTGGACTACCTGGTTTTTGGACTCTGCTTGGATTTATGACATTCGTTTTCTGCCTGTTCCCTGTATGGACTTGTTACTTTGGACAACTAAGTAAAGTTTTATTTAATACTTTATTTTTCTGCCTCACTCGCTTTCTTTGCTACTGAGTCTCTGCCTAGTTGAGAAATGTCACATTATGAGCTTTGGGAAGAGCTTTTAGAATTTTCATGTGAACACGCTGTCCCACATAAGGACAAGCTCACGGATGAGAGGTGGTGCGCCAGGCTGGCTTACCTTGCAGACATATTTGGGCATCTCAACGAGTTAAATGCCAAGCTTCAGGGCAGGAATGAAAACATTTTATCATCCACAGACAAGATTCGGGGGTTTATGGGCAAACTTATCCTGTGGAGTGAGGCTTTGGAATAGGGCTCCATGGACATGTTCCCGCTGGCCACAGGCAGCTAGGGAGCACGCTGTATAGTCTGAACACCTTCAGACCTTAAAAGAGAGGTTTGAGTGCTATTTTCCATGTGTGGCTGACATCGAGGACTGTGACTGGATCCGAGACTCATTCAACCAGGAATCCTCAACAGAAAAGCTCACTATGAAAGAGAGAGAGGACTGCATAGAGCTCCGTGTTGACCGCACACTGAAACTCAAATTTAGTGAGCTCCCACTGGATCAGTTTTGGTTGGCTTCTGCATCGGAGTACCCAAGTATCTCCACACTATTGAGCAACTTCTTCTTTTCCACACCACCTGCCTGTGTGAGTTGGCGTTCTCTACTCTGATTTACATGAAGAACAACAGGACAGGTCACGGCTCTCTGTTGAACAGGACTTGCGAGTGGCCCTCTCCTCAGTGCCACCAAGGATTTAAAAAATCTGCGTGCCCCGACAGGCACATGTATCTCATTAATTTTTAAGTAGGCAAAATATTTACAGTAGCACATGTTTCAATGCTGATTGCTCAAATGTTATATTTATAATTTGTAGTTCAGGACCATGGACAGTGCAGCTTCCTTGCATTGACAGTTCTCTGTGCTTAAGTTTTTGCTGAGTTTCTTTGCCTCATTTTCAATTTTGTGACCTGTCTGGTTTAAATGAGTGTGTTGCTGCTTTGATAAAGCCTAATTTGATAAAGTTTCAAGTTAATTTTTTTAATATTTCATTAATAAATATTTCATGAATAATAGTGTTGTCTTGGTCACATTTTATTTGGCATTAGTAAATAATTATGCACATTTACAGATATTTTACATGATATGAGTGATAACACGTGTTATAAGGGCCATTTTGCACAATAGGTGTGCCTTGAGATTTTGACTTGTCCTTTGGTGTGCCTTGGGCACAAAAAGTTTGGGAACCACTGGTTTAGATTACACTGACCCACTATGAGGTTAATGCAATACATCCCTTAGGAGGAGTTTGTTAAAATATAATGCATGGAAATGGCAAAAAAGGAGCAAAAATTGTACATTGCATTCAAAATGGTTGACTTCCTGTTAGGTTTAGGGTATGGGTCCAGTCTAGACATGGTTCATATACCTACCGATTTTCATAAATGTTGGGGAAATGTGTCGCTGGGGCTGCTTTGTTGAAATTTGAATAAAGGGGGTGCTATCAAGCCAATAAGCCATGACCATATGCAAGACCCATATTGGGTGTGATGGGGAGTTTCATGACTTTTCAAGCATTTCACCTGACATTCCAAACTTTATACCAGGTGATTTTAAACGAAGTATCTCTTAAAAAGACTCAAAGTAATTTTTATCAGTATGTCACCTGGAAAACCAGGTGGGATAAGACCTTTGTTATGGGTCAGTTAAGGATGTTTTTAAATCTCTCCCACTTCCATCCCATGGCTCGGTGGACCATAACTGTGATCATCTTCTGCCCATCTACAAAACTGTTCTGAAGAGAGAAAAACTGCAGAGTAGGGAGATAAAAGACTGGACCGAGGAATCTGTGATGTCTTGATTATGAGTGCACTGACCCTGAGATGTTTCAGCAGTGCTGTGACGATCTGGATGAACTGCAGAATGTTACATGTTCCTATGTTGCTTTCTGCAGGGACATGATCATCAGATTCATGACCTGAACAGATCTATTAGTATGTACAGTATGTAGTGATAGTGATAGGGCTACCTACTGATCAGCTTGAAAATTAGGTTGTTGTAACTCCACTGTACATTGTCCAATCAGCCCCAAATTCCTCAGGCTTCATCAGAGCCCTGACCTGAACAGATTTATTAGCAAAAATGCATGAGACAGAACCCTCACACTCTCTCGTCTCCCTCCACCTAGATGCATCTTCACCTAACCACCCTCAATATCAAAGTATTACACTTCCATTCATGCCTTTAAATTACATATCATTTGGGTATGGTCCTTTCTAGTGAAATTAAGTTAGTCAACTTAGGTTCAGGAGCAGGGCCACCTAACCTCAACTACAGCTCTTATCTCCTGTCAAGACTACATATACTGGGTCAACCCATCCCACTCTCTATGTCTCAAATTCTTATTTGTCCACTGTTGTAGTCAAATCAAATTGATGTCATCAGTGTACAGGCCATAAAGGAACTCAATAGTGCCTAGTTTTCTTCCACAAGCAGATATTTACTCCATAGTTTGTCTGGGGAAATTATTTTGCTATTTGAGCAATAACCATTCCAAGCATAATTTGTGCTAATATTTGTAAGTGAGCATTGTAAAATTTAGTCCAAACCCGAACTGAGCCAGGAGCCTTGACATACAGCAATTTAATTTATTCTGCTATGTACTCTCTTAGAGCTGTTTTAAGAATGGACATATAGTATATCTACTGTTTCAACAAAGTTCATGGTGTCTAAAATTGAGTTTGGCTGATTGCCAAAGATTTTACAGTTTACACCATGTGTAAAGTGGTTCTAAGAGGAAAAAGTAATGAGGGTTAAATACTGTCAGTAAAGTTACTCCTGACCTTAAACTAACTTAAATTTGGTATTAAGATAATTTTGGAAAATTATTTAATCTCACTAAAGAGTGGAAATAATACATCGGTGAACATCTGTCAATAATTAGACTTGTGTTGATTTGTGTAGCCTGTGTCTTACCCTCTGTTTCATTTTGGCGCAGTTGGGCAAAGTATCTCGACAGCGGTTGTGAATAGTGATGTTGCATGCTAGAAAAAAGACATTAGACATAAAAGCACAGAACATAAACATGTCATATCTCTTTCACTCTTTCTTCTCTTTCAGAACTGCAGAGATTGATTATGACCAGAGAAACCTGAAGAATTACGAACTTTTACTATTTGAGTACTTTGTTAGATTTTACCGCTTTACCACCATTCAGTGTATATAGCAGAAGAAATGCAGAAATTCTTACTTACTCGGGCAGCTGAGTGCCTCCTTGGCAGTAATACTCTTGTTACATGCCGTGCAGAGTGTAGTTCCTGAAACTGTCAATGATGTGAAGAGATGACCATTGCTGTAACGTGCTTCCCTTTCCCTTGCTGCCTTCTCTTGCTCCCTCATGCGCTCTCTCTCTTTATTCTGGAGAAGAAAAGGAAATGTTTTTTGAAAATGCCTTCTTGTATATTTATGAATGTCACAAAAACTGAAAAAGAAGCAGACTGTCATGGAAATAGCACCACTGCTAACATGCGGGCCACACTGGCTGCGGTTATCTCTCTCTCTCTCACACACACACATTTATGGCAATTTTCAAATAAATTTCGATGTGAAAACATAGAGTTGGCAGTAACGGCACTGCTGCAGAACTGCGGCTGAACCGCAACCAGTGTGAACAACTGACAACCCAAACATGTAGCGGAATTGCGGTCCAACCGCAGTTGGTGTGGCCCGTATGTTAGGGACCAGGGTAAATTAAAGCACCAACACCATGGTTATATTGTTATGATCAGTTGAGTAACTGAAGCAGAGGTGACATTCACCAGAAGGATGTTAAGCATAGTCACAGGCACACGCTACTAATAATAACAATATTCTTCTTAATATTATTATTATTATTATTATTGTTACCATTAATAATAATAATAGTCATATCAATAATTGATTTATTGCTTAATTTATCACTGTAACAGAGTTCTGTACATAACTAATTGTAATCACTTCCAACTTGTTGCTGTGTCTGGTGTTTTGTGTTATTCTGAAGAAAACATGAGACTGCTAACTGATATTGTTCCGGGCTGCCAGTACCTCCAAGTTAGATGTCAGGTGATCTGCATTGCATCGTATCACATTCAATGCGCAGTTCTCAGATGCAATGCTCAATGCATGGACACATTTTCAGTCGGATGACACATGATATACTCTTACAGAGCAGGGTTGGTCTAACGCCGATGTATATCTATATCTAGAAATAAAATTCTTACATCTAATACCAGGATAGTGCTTTGTCTTATAAAGGTTCTGATGCTGCCTTGCATTCATTTTTTAATTCATGCCCTCTTTTGGCAGTAACAGGTCTCTTGAAGCTAGTTTGACCCCCAAACCTAATATTTCTGATGGGGGTCTGGCTACACAGACTTGTGTGCTTGTAAAGCTAAAGTTTTCTCTGCACTATCCTAAGATAAGGTTACATGCTTTATTATAAACAAGTAAAATAAATATCATCAAATCTGACGTAGATGGAGACACCAATACTATCAAAGATTCGTCAACTGGGGGTTGTGTCCCACAGCCTATTCTCTCATGATGTGGAGTCAACCAATGCCAAATTCTTACAAAGCCTAAACCAGCGACCCCTACAAGAGAGTGTCTGAAAGTGCTGTTGGACCACCTCTTCATCTGTGGTCTGGCAGCATATCTATATTAGCTGCCGCTGCCCTATAATCAACTCTCAAAGCAGGAGAGGTGACTGCTAGTCATGTTCCTCAACCCCCTCTGACTGCTCCAGGCTAAGAATCAACCTCTTTCTATGACTCAGGGTAATAGGTGCAGTGAATATTAAATATCTACATCAAAACAGGGACGGAACATAATGGATTCATGTTTTCCCCTACATTCATTGTTTTAGTGGGTTTCCACCGCTTCATAATTATAACCAAGAGGATCAGGAAAGACACACATTAAAGGTTCGGCCATCCTGTATGTGTCAGAGTCTCCTGTCTGAGTGCCCTCTGTTTGTATGAAATAAAAAGATGTTGCTGAGCACCCAATGGTTTGACTCGTTTGTCTCTGGCTGTCATGGTGGGAACCCTGTGGCATGGTCTACTGCCACAATTACATACATGTGATTATCAGTTTGTGTGTGCGGAGGGACAGAGACAAACACACACACAGACAAACTCCTGCAGAGAGAAGTTCTTCCCGTAGATTATTACTAAACACAGTGTTTTAACTTAATTGTTGTAGAAAAATCGACACCCTATTTATCCAGGAATATGAATATGAATTCAGCAGGTTTTTATTAAGATCAGCTTTAAGTGTGAGTGATTTGAAAACATCATAGGAGCAGAGTCACTTGTTGACAAGCACAGAGTAATGAGCCTCAGTGCAGTGGTGCTGCTAAGGGGGGGCCAGGTGGGGCCACCTTTATACAGCAACGGCTATAATCAGAGTTTTGTTCTTCTAAGCCTTAGGTACAACACACATGTCTAAACTGAATGAATGTCAGTGTGGAAAGCACTGACCACTGGCATAGACTCACTGTTGTAGTCTAAAGTTTGAATTTAAAACCTTATTTTAATAAATTAATTACAGCCCATTTGTAATAACAGAAACAATACTTTTAAAAGTACTTTCTAAATAAAAAGGGAGTTCATATTTGCCTGACTGATTTTATTAAGTGATATTATTCAGGGGTACATTTTACCTCAAAAAATCTTTGTACCATTTTGCTTCCGGCTATAATATTTAAGTGTCCTACACCTGACACCATCAGGCTAGTTAACTGTAGTTAAAGTTTGAAAGTACTCATTTGACCTTTTATAATACAGTATAATTTTATTAAGCTCTATGACATTTATATTTGCTCTATGGGCGCCGTATAATAGCGGCCCTGCTCTCCCTCTGTAATGCATATGTTGTGTGTGTATGTGATCTGAGGGAGAGCAAGGTAAATTTAAATTGTGTGTAACTTACTGTGCATGACAATAAAACTAATCTTATTAATATAATAACACATTAAATAGGCCTCTGTAAACTCTGCACTAGCTACTACCATGTTGCTGACTACCCGACAAAGTAATTAAAATGTTGTCAGTATGTTGAGGAATTTTCATATATCCTCACACATTACTGTATATGCAACTACATACTTTGTTAGGGTTTGAATATTGTTGCAGCTTCTGGTCTTCTTGATGCATCAAGTCTACATTAAAATCTTATGCATAAGACATCAGCTGCTGTCTGAGTTCTGCTTTCACCAGCTTCCAGAAAACTTCCATAACAAATATTACTATATGCCGTACATCGTTCGAAAGGGTAAAAGCTCGACTAACCAGACTTGTGCAAAGGAAGCTGGTTAAACTCAACCAGCTGTTTAGCTGGATACACAAGACCGGTTAGCTATGTTAGCCAGGCTGTTGCTAACATGGTGTGTGGACCTTTTTACAGGTCATTCAGCTGCTTTAAATTCTACAGTTTAGTAGGTCCTGCATTCGACAACGGGGACTGTATTTATGTATGGGTGTGTGTACATAAATGGTTGTATTTATATAGCGCTTTTCTAGTCTTGATGACCACTCAAAGCGCTTTACACTACAGTTTGCCATTCACCCATTCACACACACATCCATACATACAGTGCATACATGTGGGTATTTCTGGTGAAAAAGTGTTTTGATTGTTTTCTTTGCCTCTGTATTTCAGAGATGCCTACATCACAACAGAATCCTGTCTCTGGGATGCCAAGCGGACCTTCCACAAATCATCTAAGTGGGCACACAGGCTATCACATCTGCAAAGATTGTATGACAGCACACAGCCTCCCTGGGGTACAGTTAGGGAGAAGAATGTGAGAAGCAAGGGTACAATGCACACACATTATGTGTATTTGTATTTCACCAACTGTAACGGGTATGGTTTTGAACCCAAATGCAGCACAACAAGCATGGACAGTTGGTAACAGTCTTTATTCTCAGCTCTTAGCAGATCAGGTGGCAGGCAATACAGACAGCAACAGGCCGAAGACTTGGTCAGACAGCAACAGGCAGAAGACTTGATCAGGGATGGAAGGCAGAGGTGATTACCCGGTTTCAGACGAGGCAGGTTAGTCAGGAACAGGCAGGGTCGGCAACGAAGAATCAGTCCGGAGATAACTGCTGGAAAGTCTTGCATGAAGGCGTAGAACAATCTGGCACTGACTGAGAGTGGAGCTGGTGAATATATACTGGGCTTGATTGCAGGTGATGAGGAGCAGCTGTGTTGGATTGTGAGAGGGTGTGGCTTGGCTGGCAGATGARGCAGAGGCGGAGTCCATGGAAAAGTACTGACAGGTGGAAGGATGGGAGGCTGACTGAGAAGTGGGAGGATGGGTGACTGACTGTGACAGAGCCCCCCCATCAAGGGACGGCTCCTGACATCCCAAAAAGCTGGTATGCAGGGAGGAAGGGAGGGAGGGAGGGACTGAAGGTGCACTCAGAATTCCTCAGAGCCGGACCAGTCCATACCCTCAGCAGGGCGGGTGGGGGAGGCCTGGGGGAGGAACCCCTCCTCGTCGGATGAGGAATCCCCAGAAGAGGAGAGGGAGTCTTCCACGTCTGGAGCAGAGGGCCTGGACCCAGTGGGAGCACTATGACGAGGCACCCTGGATGAGACAGCCGCCTTAGCGGGCTGGTCTGGGTGTTGCCGATGGAAGTCAGCAATGAGATGGGGTCCCAGTATGTGACGGGCAGGAACCCATAACCTCTCTTCTGGTCCATACCCCTCCCAGTTGACCAGATACTGGATGCCCCTCCCACGTCGTCGGGAACGGATCAGACGTCGCACAGTGTAGACAGGACCTCCATCATCCAGGCGAGGAGGCGGAGGAGGAGGGGTAGCGGGAACCAGTGGACTCTCTTGAACGGGCTTGACCCTGGAGATGTGGAATGTGGGATGGACCCTCATGGAGCGAGGGAGCTGGAGCCGGACCGCAGCTGGGTTGATGATCTTCTGGATCTTGAAAGGACCAATAAACTTGGGTACCAGTTTCTTAGAGTCGACCCGCAGTGGAAGATCCCGGGTTGACAACCAAACCCTCTGGCCAACCTGGTAGGTGGGAGCCTTGGTGCGTCGACGATTGGCGGTCCTCSTGTAGCGACCCACAGACCGCAGGAGGGTGGTTCTGGCTCGGGCCCAGGTGCGGCGACACTGGCGAATGAAGCTCTGGACGGAGGGGCAGGACGTGTCCTTCTCCAGGGCAGGAAACAGCGGAGGCTGGTACCCATAAGCACACTGGAATGGTGAAAGGCTGGTAGAGGAACTGGTCAGGGTGTTGTGGGCATACTCCACCCATAGCAGCTGCTGTGACCAGGACGAGGGGCRACTGGAGACCATGCAGCGGAGTGCCACCTCCATCTCCTGGTTCTTCCTCTCGGTTTGCCCAT